AAATATGAATGTTTAAATAGTTAAATACACTTTATTAACACATCAAGTCAAACATTGTTTTATCGTTGTTTTATTAATTTTATTAGTTACAAGTCACAAGTGAATGTCTTTTTTCATATTTATTAACAGAAAATAAGAAAAAATGAATTTTAAGATTTAAAAAAACAAAAATAAATGAACAACAAAATAAACATCATTTAAACCCAAAGTGAATTTATTCTATAAATATAAAAAACAAACTCATTATAGTATTTGAACGATGCAAAATAAAGAAATAGAGAGACTATATTTATTAATTGAATGTATTCAATATCCAATAAAATTAGTGCTTTCAAAAGAATATGTCGAAAGAAAGAAAAAAGAACATAAAAAATTTCTTCAAAATTATACGTTAAAAGTAAATAAACCATGGTTCAATGAAATTACAGAACTTCCATGGTATAATGACCACAAATTAATCAACCAAGTAACTTCATTAATTAAACAAGGCAAATTATCTCCTATTTGTGAAATGGTTGAAAGTGATGATGATAATGAGATTTGTTTTTCATGTTTATGTAAACCAAAAAATAATGTAATTGGATTAAATTGGATTCATTGTTCACAAGCAACGTCAAATCATTTAATATGTACTCCATGTTTATTAAATACATTAAGTTCAAATGGATTTAAAATAAGTCTCAATAATTTGACTTGTGAATGTCAGATTTGTAAAAAGGTATCACCATTAATATGTCATGAACCTTCTGATGAAACAATTTTAAAAGATGTTCCTCAAGAAGAACTTCAAACAAAAATTGTTTATGGAAGAAGAGGAAAAGAATTAAACAGTAATTTATAATTAACAAAACTTTTTTTAATATTATGTTATTTATAATAAAAAATAATAAAATAAAAGTAAATAATTATTTTGTTATAATAATTAAAATCAATCCAAAGGCATTTCAAGCCATTGTTTTATATCTTCTTTAATATCATGTTTCTCTATTTTATTCACAATACACTCTTTTACAGAATGAAGTGAACTAAACACTCCATAATCTAAACAAAATACTAATAAATGAAAATCTGAAATTTGTTGATAAATTGGCAGTGTTTTAACACTTTCAAAATATTTTTTAAATTGAAGTAATGTAACATCTTCTTGTGGTCTATTTTCAATTGGATATTTTGATGATAAAAACATAGTCTTTGCTTTAAAGGCACGAATTGGAACGTTACAAACAAAGACTATTGGATCGACAGTCATAATTTCTTTTTGTGATAAATAAACTGATTCTTTTAAATTAATTTCATTATTTTTTGGTTGACTAGGTTGTACTATTGCTTTTTTAACTAATTCCATTAATTGTTCTGATGCTTGATAACATTCTACTTTAGATTCACTTCCTGTTTCATTTGGTGTTACAACAACTGTTACACACCTCTTATCCCAATCTAATTGTCGTTGTGCTGCTGAAATAATTTCTCTACTTGTTAAAATTTCTTCTCTTCTTGCATGTGAAAAAATAATACCAACACGTTCTAATCCAAGTTCAACAGCCATTTGTTGTACTTGTAAAAGGGTTTGTTCTTGTTTCATTTCAAAATCTCCTTCTTCATTTATAACTTGAGGTGGTTCATAAATGGCTTCTACTTGTACTCTGTCTTGTTTAAATGTTCCATATAATATACCAATTCTATTAACATAAAAACTTCTTTGAAATACATACCTTTGAAAATTGTCTGTTTCCATAAAATTCATACGACATAATTTACATACAGCTTCTTGTTTTTGAATTCGAATTTTTTCATAATCCCATTTTGCAAGACATAATGTACAACATCCATGTGGACCATGATTTGGACATGTGGCTGGAAAATAAATTCGTGGTTGTTGTGGTTGATTATGTTTAACTTCTTCTGGGGCTATACAATTAGGACATTTCATTGTTGGTGGATGATTACATTGTCTTTTAACATTAGCCGCTCCTTTTGGACATAAACAGTTACTACACTTTTGTCCTGGAGGATGATTACAAAGCCATTTAACTGGCTTTCCTTTTGCGGTTTGTGTCGCTGGTTTAATTGGTCCACCATCACCAAGTCTATAGACTCCAGAGCTGAAGTGAGTTGATGCATTTTTCTTAACCCCACCTCCAATGGTATAAACCTTTTCCCCTTCTTGTGAAGATGACGATGATAATTTTGTAGAATTACTTGGGTTTTGTGCTGTTTTATTCAACTCTTTCTTTTTTAACTCAGCTGCCTTTTGTGCATCTCTTGCCATACATTTTAAACATCTTACATTCGGTCCATGATCACATCTATCCATTTTCTTAATAATAATTTCTATTTTTTAAGTTCTACTTAGTCATTTTATATGAGGTTTTAATATAAAATCTTATTTTTTATTTTTCTTATCTTATAAAAATAACAAAAAATTATGAAAATAAGTAATTGTCTTTCTTATTAATTAATTTTTTAAGAAGATTAACTTCAACTCATTAATAACAAGAAATACAATACAATGTTTAGCTTTATATTTATTAATATACATCAACAGAAATTTACGAAAATGAGCATAGAGTGAGGTATTATCTTATTCTGAAATTGTTTTAATAAAACATCAGCTTTCCTCTAATACGACTCAAGAAAGAGCATAGGTATTGACCTTTATAAAACATAGTATGTCTAGTGATGAACTTATCTGAAAAAATGACTCAAAAGTGAATGGCGTTTGGCTCTTACAATAATAGCAGACGAAGATATGATATGATTGTATCTTATATATTTCTTATTTTGTAACATCAACCTAATTTAATAATGAAGAGAAAAAATATTTAACAACACAAAAGATGTTTTGTAATTTTTATGAAAAAATAAATAAAATAATAACAAAATACATTTAAAATAAATGGTATAGGAATATCATATATATTATAAAGCTAAAAAAGATATATTCTTTAAAAAGGTATGAATTATCTTTCTATAAAACTAATCTATAACATACTCAGATACCTTTAACCAATAATTTTAATAAACGCAATATTTTGATTCATTAATTAAAGTATACCTTCTTTGAAATGAATTATTTGTACAATTTAATTTAAGTTTTTATGGTGATAAGTATTTGGAAATGCCTTAAAATACTTTTATAGAAGAAATTAAAAAAAAATATTATTATTTAATATTTTCTTTGTTATTATTTATAAAATAGTTTTAAAATAATTAAAAAATTATTAAAATTAAATCAACGTTATTCCATTAAGACTTCATATAAGCCTCTAATTTGGAATTCATATTCTCCAATCTCTTTTCATAAGACATTCTTGGTTGTCTTCTTTCATTTGTATTTCTTTTTATTCTATTGTCATTTCTTCTATTGTTGTGGTTCATATGTCTTCTACCAATATGATTTAATCCTCTTCTACCGTCAAATCTTCCTCTGTTTCCAGAAAGACTTTGTTCATACATACGTTCTCTTCTAATAATTTCTCTAGTAACATTATCAATCAAACTATTTCTAAATCCACGTCTCATTCCACCAAATCGTCTTTGTCTATTTCTTCCATCATGGAAACGTCTTCTTCTATCATTATGATATCCTTGTTGGCTTTTAGCTGAAATAATTTCAAAATTCATTAATTTACCATCAAATTCTACATTTTTATATGCATTAATAATTTTATTAGCATCTTCTTCTGTTTTAAAAAGAACAGTAGCAATATTATTTCCATCTTGTTGTGATTTTAAAAAGACTTTCAATGGTTCAACTTTATTCATAGAGCATAATTTCTATTATATCAATTATCTATTTTTATTTCTTTCTTTAATACTACATTAATATAATTAAAACTATTCAATTTGTCTATATCCGTTCAATAAAGTAATCAATTTCTTAAACTATAATTACTTGTTCACGGTACTTTTTATTTATTATCTTCTTTAAAAAGAATATCACCATATCTTATCAAATTGAACAATAACTATATACTTTTCATTTTCATTTCAAAAGAAAAGACTACAAACATTTATATCTTCTTCAGTAACCTTTGGTCCAAGATTTGTTACTCGGACTTTAACATATTGTGGTGCTGAAACTTCTTTATCATTTTTAGTTCTTCTTGGTGGCATTGAGTCTCCATTAGTTCTTTGGTCATTATTTCTATACCTTCTTGAATTTGAGAATGATCTATAACCATATCTTCTTCTTTCCATTGTGTAAGGTTTAATGATGAAATAATAGTTTTTAAATCTCTTAAATATAACCCTAACCGGTTCATATCTTATTTATTTTTTCAAGTTCCTTCCTGACTTTTATCTTTTTGATATTAGGTTTTATTTGTGCTTTGTATTACAAAAATTTTTTGTTTTGATAAAAAAAAAAGAAAAATGCTTTTAACCATTCCTTGTGAGTTGTGATAAGATTTTATCTCATTTGAGTATTTAAACTAGTTTTATCAAGAAGAATTAGAATGTCAAGTGAGTCAGTACCGACTGAATACGTTCGTTGTTTGTTTTCTATTTTATTCTTCTTTTGTCATGAGGAATTAAATCCCTCTTAATACTAGAATTAATTCAGCTCTTAGATTCTTCTGACACTAAAAAGTCTGCAAAAGAAATTGCATTAGTTCTAAAAAATAATTATAATAGGCCGTTACAAGAAGTTGCTCGTATTGTAGGCATGTCAGCTACATCAGTTAAAAAACTATGTAGAGATTTAGGCATTAAGCGCTGGCCACACAGGAAGGTTTGAATATAAAACTACTAACCATAATCAAATTGAATACTAATTACCTAGTTACAAAGAATAGAGGGAGAAATAAAAAAAATAGATGAGTCAATGAAAGATCCCTCTAAAACTTCTTTTGAAAGAAATCAATACCATGAGCGATACCTTGAATTAATACAATTGAAACAACAAGTCTATGATGATCCAAATATCCCTTTAAGTAACCCTCCAAAAAAAAAGTATTATTGTAAATCAACACCCAATCCAAAACCATTTCATCAAATCAAATTTCAACTGAATGGAAAAACAATTCCTATCTCATGCTCAGCACCGCTCAGCTCAAGTTTGTTTATATTAAATATAGTTCAATAATATTATTAATAAGTAATAGTAGTTTTTGGTCCTGATTATTTAGGTGTGATTATTTCACAACAACCTAACATAACACCACCTGATTGTCCATGTCCAATACCTGAAGCTGAGTCTTATGAAATTAGTTGTCTTCCTTCTGAAGATCCTTTACAACAAAGTTAAATGTATCTTAACTAATAAAGATTGATTTTTGTGATTGAATAATTATAATAGTTAATATTATTAATTAAAAACTATATTAAATATTTAGGTTTAGTCATCATGAAAATTTTATTTCATAGAAAATTGTTATAACAAATAGAAAGAAAAAAAAGAATTGAATAAGCAAAAATTCATTTATTTAAGATATTCAGCAACAGCCTTTTTTATTCTCATTTTTATTATTTGAAATAACAACTTCATCTGGATCAATCAAACCCTTTTCATTTCTTGGTAACTTTCTTGCAATTTGATCAAATAGTTCATTAACATTAATATTTGCCTTTGCTGATGTTTCAATGTAATCTATAGATAAACTACGGGCATAACCTTCTGCTTCTTCTTTTGTAATAACACGAGAATCAGCCAAATCACATTTATTACCCACTAAGAAGATAACAGCCTCATTTCCTGATCCTCTTAATTCATCTATCCATTTTTTTGCTTGAATAAAAGAAGACTAAGTTCCTATTAGCCTATCTCTCTTTTGCTGTTTAAATACCAAAAAGAGAAAACAAACGTCTGAAGTAATGTCATAAACAACTAATGCAGCATTACTTCCACGATAATACATTGGAGTTAGAGAATGATATCTTTCTTGTCCAGCAGTATCCCAAATTTCAAATTTTATAGTATCTCCATCAACGATAAGAGTTTTTGTTAAAAATGCTGCGCCAATAGTATTTTCTTGAAATTCTTTATATTCATCTTTACAAACTCTTAGGACAATACTAGATTTACCAACACTACTATCTCCTAATAAAACTATTTTAAATTGATATGTGTTTCCTTCGCTCATTCAATAGAATAATTAAATACAAAATATCAGTTCATTTTTTTCTTTTCAGCACTATTTTTAAGGAATTTTCCACTAACTTTTACACCATTATTTTACTAAATCTATTTTTTTATTATAAAA